ACCACCATGAGGTTGCACTTTGATTTGGGCCTATCTATATCCGCAGGAACTATGGACTTACAGTTAAGAAGTATGGACTGTTTTCCTGATCTTTAAAGATGTGGGATTTGTGTTCAGTAGCTTGTCACATCGTGAAGTCTTTGTCGACAGGAGAATTAATCCTCACGCAGCCCGTCCGGATACAGAGTACCGTTACTTTAATCAAGTCAAGCCAAAGTATCCCCACGCCACGGGAAAGCTGGTTTTGAGGATATTACTCAACTCATTTCATTCAATCGGCTGAGTATTTCATTAAAAATGCACCCACACCCATTTCAAAATTTTCGCCATGATATCATTTGAGCTCCGTCTTGATATATACAGTGGTGGCCGGTAAACGCCGACGAAAGTTGCACTGCTGTATGTGTTTTGAAGTATATAAATAAATTTGAAAAGTACCGAAGTGATAATCCGCATTTCATTGGACATAAATTGCGATATTCTTATCCAGAGAATCCAGAAGGTTGTTTGTGGTTCCGGCGAAGAATCAAATGTCATATGCCGCATTCTATATATAGTGTATCTGATGGCGAAGAAGTACAGAAGCGCGCGAAATGACAAAGAGCAGGTTAGCCAATGTCTACTCGACGGTGAACATACCAGTACAAAGGATGGATCGATAGATTCGGCGTTTCATCGCAAAAATCCAAATATTGGGTAAAAGGACAATATGACTGCATGGAAGGACACTACAACCGAAAAGTAATACTACCATAACATGTTCAAGGAGGACGGTGGATGGATTCTTCAACTTTTGGTGTCCTTGTTTGAAATACTTCAAAGTATATATAGGCCCGTGTGGCAACACGAAATATTATAATATCCAGTCCCAAAACGCCATTTTGGGGTCGATAAACTGTTGGAGACGCACTGGCATACTCAGCTCTGACTTGAAGACATCCAGCGCTTGAATGCATGTATAAGTGTAGTTGGTCCTCGTGGAAGTACCTGTAAGATTTATATAGTGTGTGAGTTGCATAATTTGCTCCGTTTCGTTTATCGTGTGGGGGTGGAGATCAGTATTCACATTATTAGTATTAATAATAGTTTCGCGTGCAATATAGTACGTAAGTACAAAAAATACTTCGAGTAAGAAAAAAGGTCGACATTGCCCCTTTCAATGTCACCAGTTCTCGGTTCTGCAGCTCCAGTTTGCGTAGCTTGTCCTCAGGCTTGGCAATGATACGATTGATAGTATGGTTTCAAGCTAAATTTGGTATTTTCGGTAGATTTGACCAACGACAACGTCAAATCTAGCTGAAATCGTCTAGACATCGTTTTACTTGACCTAAATATGTATCCTTCCCGTCCGTTTTGAAATCGAATCTCAACGATTAAAACATGTCAAAATCAAAACGATAATTAATATTATTCCACGTCCCCAACCAGTGTTGTCATGGCAGAAGTGGTGAAGGGGGAGGGGGGGGTAGCAGGGAGCCAGTGTAGCTAGACGGTCGATCGTACGAGCTTGTGGCGCTGAGGCTGCTTTCGCTGTTGAGGCTATTGACATAAGGGGGTGTATGGACGATGTCGTTATCCGAATCGTAGCGCAGCAAATCCGTAAACAAGTCGCCGCCCCGGGTCCACCTACGTCCAGAAACGGGTACAAAACACAACGCTCGTGACACAAACGGGTACCGTTCGGTCACGTTGATGGGAGTGGCGCGGGCGCCGTACTCGGCCGTGGGACTGTGGGCGTCGGCGACCAGTCGGGTGGTTTCGGCGGTCGTGGGAACGCCGGTGTTGATCACATGGAAAATGCCAAAGTCAGGCAGCTTGGTATCGCCTCGAAACGACGAATAGCGCGGAACTATAATAGCCATCCATATTGGTGTGGTGTATTCGATTTCAAAATGGACGACTGGGGCTGCCAATCGAATAAATCGACGAAGTAGCCAATGAAATTATCGAATAAAATCTTATGACCAATCAAATTGCAGGTGGTGGGTGTATCCAGTGCATTGTCAAGCGTCTCCATTTCACAGTGCTCAACATTGATGCATCGGACACGATTTACATTGAGTATACTTAGTTCCAGTAAAACAGTATCTCGACGATATTTCAGGTAGATTTGAAGTCGTTTGTCGAATCTACCAAAAATACCAAATTCAGCTTGAAACACAATAATAAACGTCGGGAGAATCCTCTAGGAAAGAGATCCGTCGACGAATATTTTTTTTTGACAACACACCCGCAAAACTCATCCTTCAGGGTGATATATATATATATACTAGTATGGAATAATGTTTTTAAATAATCACACATTCATGGTTATATATATGAGATCGTTGTTGTTGGTTTTCTCGTGAGCTGCAATATATATATATATATATTGAATCATACCTAGCACCCTTCTATCCCAAGCCATATATATATATATATATATAGGGATTCTGCAAGAGGCCACACAATACAAACGCTTCATCCATGTCAAGGTTAGTCGAAGCATTTACCAACCATCACCACCACGCAACAACACGCCAAAGCAAGAAATCGGAACTCTCGTGTTTAGGATAATATCGTACATATATTGTGCAGTACCTCCCACGGCCCCAGCTTTGGTGGAAATGAGTACCAGCAGTAGGATCGTTGGGACAAAATCCCACACGACAAACAGGGCAAAGTATGAAAACGTGGGAATTTGCCCAAATTGGTCGACGGGGTTGGCAACACTCAAGCGCAGCCAGTTCTGGGACGTAACGAAATCGCGCACAGAGCGCGTAAAGAAGATGAGGAACAGCACCGAATTGAACACGGCGAGGCTCTATATACATACATATAGCACACGTCATCGCAGGAAACTGACCGAGTGTGCGACAATGTACATACCCGGGGCTTGGAAATAAGCAGGCGGTGCCGCTTGGAGCTGTCGACATGGGCCAACTTCCAACCAAAAAACGCAAACAAAATCGACAGCACGAAGAACGATATCGCAGAATACTCGAGCTGCACGCGCACAGCAGAGATCTTGAACATGTCTTGATCGTACTCGTCGCCATACCGAATCGCATGTTGGAGCGACGAGTTGGAGTTGACCGCCCAGATGGCCGTAAAGGTCGCCATGCTCAGCGTGAGCACAAAGTAGAGCGGCAGGCAGACGCGGCGCCAAGTAGATCGCCAGGCTTGGCCAGTGATGACCTGCGTCGTGGAGATATGAGGGAATGGATGGACGGATGGGTATTTCGATATTGAACAAACGACCTGTATGTAAAACAGCACGAGCAGCGCAAAGTTGGCAAACTGAATCGTCGTGGGAAACCAGTAGAGCAAGTACAGCTCCAGGTACGTCATCCGGTCGCGCAACTCGATGGAGATCCAAAAACTTACGCGGACTGTGACCCACACCAGGCACAGGCAGTAGAAGCACGTGCTCCATGCCATGACCTTGCTCTTATTGAAGAACACCATGGCCAGCTTTACGACTAGGAACAGCATCAGCAGCACACACATGAACACGAGTGTCCACGTGTACACCTTCTCCGCCGCAGACACGTCGCCTTCGTTGGTCGTGGCCATGTCTCCTCGTTGATCACCACCACCGTCACGAAATGCAGCAATCTACATGCCATCGTACGATGAAGGAAGGGAGGATGTCATGGAGACTTTATAAATTGACACTGACGAAGTTGGTCGTGGGATGTTTTCTCGCCGGCCCGTTGAACTCTAATAAAACACGAAAAGATTGCCAATATTATTGCATCTTTTATAACTTCCTACTACTGTACTAGTACTATTAATAATAGTACCGGTAGCTGATATTTACTGCTACTGGAGTACGAAGTACTAGTACGTAGTACAATACAGTAGGTACAGTAACATACGGACGAAATTATGTACTTCGAGTACTACGTATTACTGAGTACTACTAGTACTGCGTAGTACTACTACGTATTAATATCTACCACGGTAGTTCAGCTGTACTAGTAGCTGTTAGTACAAACAGTAACGTTATGGTCATACGACTTTGTACTATTAATAGTATTAATAATACTAGTAGTACTCTTAACCATGCTTGACTTGGCCTGTACATCTAAGAACCAAAATACCAAAATCCTGCGCAGTTTCTATAACGTTTTGTATGGGGGCAACTAGAAGTGCTAACCTACCCAGTACACGAGCTACTACAACTACTGTACTATACAGTTGTATTGTATACTGTACGAAACCTACTTTGTTTTTTACTATGGTGCACGTCATCTAAAATCGAAGAGTGGAGGTTTTATTATTTAACGTACAATTAATGTAGTTAAACCCAAAACCAAATACGTTAAATACCGATTTCATGCGTTTTATCACTGGAGTGGGAGGTTAAAGGTCCCAACTGCCTCCGGATAATATATACGAAAAAGATAAGAGTCACATACAAAAATCAAGATACATCTCAGCGGCCACCCCTATGGCCAAATATCCAAACGCCCATGTAAAATACCTCTAGGTTTAATATCTATTTCAGGACCAATTCATCACCAATTTTGAATCTGAGGCGTAGAATTTCTTCACCACATTGAGATCTATCGATTCTACGTCTCAATTTGCTGAAATTTTGAGTAATGAATATGAAATAGAAGTCAGAAAGTTTTGTGAAAAGTTGGTAGTTTATAGATGACGCGCACCTTACTACTTGTACTATTAATAGTACTATAACGTTAGTATTGGATATCTCAGCATGTTTTCCACGAAACCGCTACCAGCCAGTTGTGGCAACGGTGCTAAGTCCCATACGTTATATTGGATGCATTTCAAAGCTGCTCCACAAATCTGAAACCGTTTCCAAAGTGGATTCATCACGTAGTCGTTACAAGCCATTCCCAGGCATTTTCGCTAGACCAAGAGATCGATCGATCCATGTCTCGTGTGACCCGCTATGCAAAGACCGCCGACGTGGACAGCTTGGAGAAGCTTAGTCTCAAGCTGACCGCCGACCTGCGCAACCACATTCGATTTCTTGTACGTACTCAGTATCTATCAAAGGTTTCAGTGCTTCATGGACAAACAAAATTGTGCAGGGCGACTACCCCGTGCTGTCGGCTGAGTGGAGGGAAATGGCGCGCAACATGATGCGATTTGGCGAAATCTCGGAAATGGTAGGGGATATAATACACATGATTTATATATGTATATACTACCCGCCTAAACGTTGCGATTTGTGGTAGGAACGGCACATGCCCAAGCAAGACAATGCAACGTTGTGGGAGTGCGAAGAACTAGCATTGCGCTACATCCTCGAAGACGGCAAACTCAACCTCTGTCTTCGTCTTTTGGTCGAATACAAGGATTACGAACATGGCATCAGCCAACGCGACCTCGACGTACAAGTCGATGATCTACTTGGGCAAAAGTTGATATATATTTTATTTATATATTGAATTAGCCCGAGGCAAAGGAGTTGATAAGCCAGTTCGAACGCGGGCTTGGCGTCATGCTCAAGAACGCGTGGCTCCACGTCGAAGCGTTGCAGGTACCTACCTTCCTACCTATGAAAGAAACGCATTATATAAATTGTATATATACATATTAAAAATAACAGGTTTCGATGCCAGCATTCCAGTGCCCTTTCAGTTTGTTCCACCGTGTTGATATGATGCAAACTGTAATTTGTAGACGACAGACTTGCCGCTTCTGTTGGAATACGTGGCGGGGGTGCTCACGTTTTGCGAAGAAGAACCGGCGGTGGGTTAACTAAATTATTACTCTATTGTCGTACAGTATCTGAGAGTTATGTATTTCGCGATATATTTCTAATAATTCGTTGTGTTTTTTATAGTATGTCGAAAAGAAGGACTTGGTTGACAGCCAAGAAATTCTCGTCGTGTACTATCTGCATGGGCTGTTGAAGCAACTGGAACATATTTCCGAAGACAGGTTAGTAGGTTTAGTATATACGTAGTACTACTGTATCGAGTCAACTAACGACGTACTATTACTACTCACTTGATTTTGTGGGTAGGGTCATGCCGTTGGTTTTGGAGAAACAGCTCTTTGCGCTGCTTGCGTCGCACATCCAACGTCACTGGAAATCGTTTTCTGTACGTAAAGTTGCACAGTGTGTCGATGTTAGTATCGTAGCATTAGCATCTTCTCGCTGAGCCTGCCACGTCATATACTATGTAGTATTAAACGGATCCATTCACACTTGAACGATGATTGAACTAATATATGTGTGTATATACTGTAGGACACGGATGTGATCGTGGCGTGTGAAGTGCTGGCATTGCTCTGCGACACGGAGGACTTTCAAACCCACGGGGTAATAATTTGATGAAAACTCCAGCTAGTGGATGTATATATTTCTATCTATATACATACATAGATATACTATGCCATTCGCACTGTCTCGTTTTCGAACCCAATTTTTTTGTTACATTCTCGCTAAAAATCATAATAAACTTTATAGCCGTCGTACGTGTCGTCGGCTCAAACATGTCGCGACTTGCGGGCGATCCAAGGTCCGTATCATATATATATATATATTATATTTGATATTCTGGGACGATCTCACAGTATATACAGAAGACATATTAGACGGATTGATGGAAGACTTGGACATGCGAAAGAAACTTCGTCCGCTCTTGGACGTAGTTAACGAGTTTGCCAGTGGGCGCAAGTAGTAGCCTCGTCCCAAACCAGCAACTAACGATTACGTTGTTCCCCCCGACAATTCCATAACACTTTCACTCCATATACATTGCACGTTTTGGCTTTAAATGTTTCACCGTTTACTGTTTTTAAAAAAGTCTGTCTATTATGGGGGTTAAGCGAGGCGGGTACATAGCTTAGCTTTCTTCGTGATGCGTGGGGCTCACTTGTCGTGTTGGTTGTGCTGTATAGTGGCTTTGTTTGGCCAGAGTCTCAATCAAGTGGCGAATGGCTACCCGTTTTAGTTGAATCACGCGGGGGTGAAACCAGTTTTTGGTCATAATACCCTGTGATTCACCCCCTTTTGTCGCAATGAGGGCTGTCGACATGAGCGGTGGGTTGGACAGAAACTTCTCGACATAATGCAACACAAACACACCGCAGTCGGTGTAATTCGATTGCCTGGGAATCTACATATATGAACTTATATCGCCATTTTCAATATATTCCAACATATTTCAAAGCATTGAAAACAGTTTGAAATCCATTTTAGCTATGTAAAACACTGGTTCATTCATGTCAAACAAATTGAATTCCATATAAAAACAGATGTGAATTCCATTTCTACACATTTTTATCCAGGAGAAACATATTTTAATTCATGTGAAGGATTCCCATGTTAATAGATAGTTAATAGATAATTGTAAATAATATTTGAAATCGTGTGAAACCTATTGAATCATCGATTGGAAAAACCATATTGACATAGCATCTGGTACCTCGCGAGGGGAAATCATGGGCAAATTGGCCACCGTGATCGACATGGGACCACACGTCGGGGCCTTGCGCGCCCGCCATTCCATTTGCAAATACCTACATAATTATATATATATATATATGTCAACATTCGTTTGTGTCTTTATATATATTTGAACATATCCTAAACATATAGAGGCAAAATAATATGTTTCTATCCTACAATAGAATTCGCAGTGAACAGGACAGTATATATATATATATATATATATCGCTCTATATTGTTATATATATATATATATCGTACTCGCGGAGAAATTTGGCAATGCGCAGCGTGCGGTGGGCTTTGAGAGAATCCAAAAACACAATACAAGGGCGATGGTTAGTATCTTGATCTATGTCTTGCACGAGGCCACATGTGTTGCAACGTTGCGGTCCTACTTTATTCAAACTTGCATAATTTATATATATATAGATGACATATATAAGTTATTTAAGTCGTACAAAAATAATAATTAATAATAGTATTATTATTCTAAATTGGAGCGACATGGACAGAGAAGGATACAAGATAAAAATGTACACAAGAGTCGACACAAGGAGTTCGTTTAGTTGAGCCAATCAATCCAATCGTAGGAAACCAATTCCACCATCTACCGTATTTGTCGTACCTTTGTACCATGGAGTTAAATTTCAAGAATTTATTTAAATATTCGAATTGTATAATTGATTCGAGATTGTATTGAAATATTGAATTATATTCGCGTTTTGTATTTCATGGTGCAGAGCAACTACAAATATGGTAGTTATTTCGTGTGCCTTTAATACATATATTCTTCCAAACGCCACAGATCCCCATGGTCCATACAAACTTTAGTACAAAAATAATAAACATCGAGATAAATGGGGCGATTTAGCACATACAAATATACAAACCGTGTTCTAGTTAACGGACAGTATTGTGCTATTCACAGTCAAAATTGCGTATTTTGATGACATCGCCAACTGATCGAGCAAAAGAGTATATGATTGGCTACAAAGAATGAATGTTGGAATTTGATTGGCTAAACAGATTCATTAAAGCATGGCAGTCACAAAGATCACACAATATAATATATCTTTTGGATCAGCAAAAACCACCCTTACCTGGTTCTTGTGGGCTTTTGGATGCACCCGACTGGTGCTGTTGTTGCTCACTCTTGGCACAAGGTTCGGATGGCCGTTTAAATTGGACGGATACAGGCCGTTCATCCGAAGTAACAACACCAGCTGGCTCGTTTTCACAGAGTGTTGGGTTTAGTGTACTACCACCACTGGGCGTCGCTTGTCCTTTTGTCAAGGCACACGACCCACCCGACTCGCCACCTTGAGTTTGCCAGGATGATGGTGGTGGGACGGAGACAGGTCCGTTTGCCACGTCATCAAATTCGTTACTGGGGACCGACTCCATAACAACCACTTTAACTCCCCGTTGAGTCAATGGGGGAGCTTTCAGTCGCTTTGGTAGCAGCGTGCGAGCTGCCGGAGCTGGTCGTTTGGCAGGTTTCAAAGCACTTGGAGAACTTGGATGCGCTGCCCTTCCGTGGGGGTCGACGACCGCACATCGACACACACTTGTATTGGCAAACCGATACAAATTGCACACGATAGCCACACTCCAGTGGCCCCTACGAAGATTTATATATATATATATATACATTTAGATACTATAGTCCATGATTTGATATTTAACAATTTCAAATGAACACCACCAATCGACAACCAATCGACTGACCAATCAACAAACACTCTGACCTTTTGAATTGGCCAATCACAGTCCAAGAAATCACTTTTCACCACTTGCAGCGAGTGTCACCAACCATCACAAGTGGACTTGAATAATAATACCTATATTAGATTCTAACTTCATATTCGTTTCTGTCTATTAAACATAAACAACACCAACTTTCGCTCGAAACAGCAATTACATATATACCACCGCCTTCTCAACCACAAGGTTTTCCAGTATACTCGAAGAAAGGTTTTCTTATGCATTTATTTATATACATGGAATCGGACAGAATCATTGATCGCATCGATATATATATATATATATACTTCAAAGTATGGAACACTAAC